AAGCAGCTGCATCTTTTGGTAATGGAGTTTTAGCCACGGCTTCTACTTTGGAGTTAAGAGGGGTTAGTTTTTCTGCACGCACGGTGTGTCGCAGAAAGTCGAGCGCTTGCACGTTGAATTCACATTTCTGATTATGCTGAAGTCCAGCAGCAAAAGTGCAATGTAGGAATTCCTGCAATTTTCTCCTGTGCTCTGCTTGGGACTTGCGGAATACGATCACATCGTCAATGTAACATAGCACCCTCTTACAGTAATCCAGGACCGTCGTCATCGCTCTCTGAAACGCCGGCGGAGCTGACGCCAACCCAAACCATACTCTTCGAAAACCAAAAGGTCCGTCATGAGTGACGAATGTCGTCAGCTCCTGGCTGTCTGCTGCCAGTTACACTTGGTGATAGGTCGAGGCCAAATATAGCTTGGAGAAGTGAGTCGACCCTGCACGCTGGTGAAGAAGCTCCTCTGTATGTGGGAGTTTAAATCTATGCATTAAAACGGCCTTGTTTGGCTCGCGCAAGTCTACGCACAGCCTGATGGTGCCGTCCTTTTTTTTGACGACTACAACTGGAGATATCCATTCAGAGGCTTCGACCCGTTCAAAGATTCCAACTTGCTCCAATCGGCGCATTTCCACGGACACAGCATCCCGCAATGCTATTGGCAGCCGCCGCAGTTTTGCCGCCACGGGCTTAACAGTTTCCAGCCTCTTGGCCTGGTGAGAGAAGCCCTTTACCAGATCCAACTTGTCGGTTAATAAGTGTGAGAATTGTTTCTTCATATCAGCAGGTAGCGGGGTCTGATCGGTTCGTGTGTGCAGACATAGCAAGGTTCCTCCTTCAATCTGAAGTTGTAAATTGCAGATTGCATCTAATCCAATAAGGGTCGTCCCCTTCGCCACCAAGTAAAATAGTACGCAAGTCGAACGCTAGTGGTAGCGAACGTTGGCGATGAATCGTTCCTTCACTTCTATCTTGTAGCCCGAATGGTCCAGTAGGTTGACAGGCGGCGGTGCCAGAGCCATTCACTCCCGGAACCATTTCCGATAAATGTCATGGGTGATGATTGACACTGAAGAGCCCACTGAGCACAATGAACCTGCCCCGTGACTTGCCGATCCACAACGGTAATAAGGACGCTCCGTCACCTCCTCTTCGTCTTTTTTATCCTTTTCAGTAACGCGATGCACCACCCCCTCAGCTGCAATGTATTTCAGGTTGCGCTGGGGGTCTTCGTACTGCGTTGCCATTGATACGGCCTTTTCTAGTGTCAGCAGTGCCCCTTCAAACAGCAGACATTCCCAAAGTCTGCCAGATGAAATGCCTGAACAGAGCTGGTCCCGAATGAACACGTCGGTGGTGCTATCGTACGCGCATTTGGCGGCTATATCGCGCGAACTTGTGATGTATCCTTCCATCGGCTCGCCTCGCTGCTGTAATCTCTGCTTGAATCGATATCGCTCAAACGAGTACGTTAGTTGTGGCTGCAAAAATCCTCCTTACGAGCTTCAGCGTAGTTGTGAACTCGTCCGTGGTATCCCCACTAGCAGGCTTGTTTTTCTCTGTCGCACCCGCAGTCGCAGGCTTGCCTTCCTCCTCCGTAGTCGGCCGCTGCTGTGGTGGTGTCGACGTGGCCACAACATTGTACTGCCGTTGTCCCTTCACTCAAAGACAGTGCAGCAGAATGGCTGCACGCCACGACGCCTTGAACACCTCCTCGCCGGAAGCCTCAAGAAACCTGAGGAATGTTTGTACCCAGCCCGTGAAACGGAAGGCTGGCCTTGCGTTTGCAGAAACGGCAGCGGCGGCATAAGCCCGAAGTTCATTGGTAGCTCTTTATGGCTTTCTCCTCGTCGCCAATATTATGTTGCAGCCCTAGTCGCCGGCGTAGCGACAACGATGGGATGCCTACGCCGCGAGCTTCGAACCTGAAAATACATGATCTTCTTCGCGAGTTGGAGGCTCTATATACAAAATAAAAATGTAGCCGACACAACATACACCGTCTCAAAGACATCCCTCAGCTTACGTAATCCCAACTCGATCTGCCAGGCGAGGTTCTGGCTCCATCCTTTTAACACATCATTTAGTCCTGCATGTACTACCACTAGGTTTACTCCCTCCCTATTTTCCCACCCGTCCTCCTTCGCTTTGGCCATAGCGTCTACCATGCACTTTCCCGGCTGGGCCACTACGTTTACCCTTCCATCCCCTTTCACCCTCTCCAGCAGCCCCTCCTAACCCTTGTTATGCTTGAGTCTCCTACCACCAGCGCCCTCCTAACACTCGATTGCCTGTCTTCACCCCCTCCAGCTATCTGTGGTTTCTCTTCCTCAACTTCTGCTGCCTTCCTCGAACCCTGCTGTGCAGCACTTTACAGCTGTGCAGACTCCTTTCCTACAATGTCCACCATCTCGTAACTATTTAACTGGATTCTGCGTCTCCCCCCCCCCCCCCCCCCCCGCCGTCTTCTCTGTTACCTCCCCCTTTTCCTTGGTAACTACTCCTCTCAGCTGCCGCACCATATCCTCACACTTCTTCTTATGCTCCTCCAACTCCACCTTCCACTCTTCCCCCTGTCTAAGCTCCTCCAACTGCCGCTCGAGCTCGGCTCGCTGTTCCAGTTCTCGCCTCAGCTCTCCCGCCACGCTTTCCTCCTTGCTCGCCCATTCACTGGTCATCTACTCCACATCAGCTTCGCCCCTCTTAATCAACCCTGCTACGTGAGCCTTGGGCTGAACCCGCTTCTCCCGCTCTACCGGTATCTCTCGCATCAAAATATGAACCGTAGTCACCCATCCCCTTCCCATTCTCCTTAAACCAAGTTCTACCTTCTCGCAACTCCGGCATGTAAAGTTGCTACCCTCGGCTTCTGCTAGTTCTGAACTCCGTCTCCATCATGCAGCACCAACCGCCACAATCCTCACATTCTATATATCGGGTCCTCTTTTGATTTAGTCTGCGCATCCTTCTTCCGTCGCGTATTCACCGTTGCCTACTGAGACACAGCGCGACCCTACGACAAATATCCCACCAAAGCTCAAATTTCGGTACGCCTCTGCCAGCACAACCAACTAGCCCGCCAAAAGTTTTCAACGTGAACGCGGTTCGGTCTCGTGACCCTAAGAGCCTGCTTTAACCCAACTATCCTATCGCTACCTTAAAAAGTGTTTTACACTGCCCGATAAACACACCAGTGAAAGACCAACTGATGACGTCATCAGTGACGATGTCGATGACGTCATCAGGATGACGTCATTAAATTGTCATCGATGACGTTACACGTGATGTCACTGGTGACGTCACTGATGACGCCATCAGCGACGCTGACGATGAGGATGACAATTACCCTAAATTCTCCGCTATGTCGAGTGGAAAAAGTTTCCCCGCTAAAACTTCCGCGCTAAAGTTAGGGGAAAAATTGCCCCGCTAAATTCCCGCAAAATTTACACGTGATGCGTTCACAAAATATGTGCATTTCCTGCGACTTACGTTAAGCACACGTCGATCCACACCCATGTTAGTAGTGGGGGACTTTCCACCTTCTCCCCTCAGTACCCTTTCCTGCTCCTCCTCAAGAGCTGCGCTCTAATTTGGTGTTACAGGGGTTAGTAAAAGTCTTTATTTTTTTTTTAAATTCTTTTCTTTACCTTTTTTTTCTCTCCACTTTTCTTTCTCTCATCTCTTAATTTCTGTTTTCTTTATTTTCGGGGCCTTATTTTATGTAACTTCAGTTCAAGAAGTTGGGAGACAAAGTGCACGTATTGAGGGGGACAGCAGTAAATGTTTGGTGCTAGTTAAAATAGCCTTGCAGGCACCCGTTTCCGGCTTGAGAGGCGTTGCCGTCGCTGTCGGCGTAACCGCGCGTTGCATTATGGGACGTCTCCCGTAATGACGTCGCACGTGACGCCACCTGTTACCCGCACGTTTAATTATTGGACGTTTCCCCAAATAACGTCACGAGGGTCACTAGGGTGAAGAGTGACGTTTTGACTAGGGTCAAGAGTGACGAGATGAGGAGGGAGGAGGAGGAGGCGAGGTGCCAGCTGCCCGTTGTGCAGGCAAGTGATATCACCATTTATATGTAAATCACAGAGGCACGTATTTAAACGTGGTGTACTCGTTATCCAAGTGGCCAACTGTTTCTGTGCTGTACCCATCAATTTCTGGGGCACGTCAGAAGAAGTTGGTAGATTGTGTGCCGCCAAGGTCGACAGCGGCTTGCTCGCGGTAGCGCTGCATCTCTCGCCTAGAGCACTCACCAAACATTTCGTGCAAGACAAAGAAGTTCATGCCAGTCATGCAGGAAAACGTCCCATTGGCCCCGAATTACGTGCACTCGCTGTTCTGCTGTTCCATCTCGTGGGAGCACACTCAAGAATAATGCTAAGGAGATAAAGAACGCCGAGCAGTCTTGGACAGAGCCGACAGCAAGTAGTTAGACATCTAGAGTAGCACGTGCTTTGTCAAAGTGTTGACTGTGGCGCTGTTTCGTCCTCCCGCCTTGATCCGGCTGTCCAGTTTCCAGGCACCGGCAGAACTTAGAGTGGAGCTTCTAGATGTGAGCACTATATTTCCTTTCCCCGGACACACTGTGAGCGAGAATACCGGATTATATATGGGAGGAAAACGGAGGGGAGGAGGAAGAGCAGGGGAAGAGGGGAGGAGCACGGGACGAGGAGAGGGGGAGGGAGGAGGAGGTGTTGGCACAGATGGGGAGGAGGGGCATACCCTCGTATCAGTACCCTCCCTTCCTCCTCCTCAAGAGCTGTGCTTTCATTCAGCATTAAGGGAGTTGTAAACATCTTTCATTTTTTATTCTTTTATTGATTCTTGTATTTTCACCAACCAGCTCTTTTGTGTTTGTCCCGTGTTGTGTAAGCTCATACGCCTATCTGTAACATATATTCTAATGTGAAAAAAAAATGCAAGTGGTTGCTTTTTTATTTTTTTGAAAGTGATTTGAGGCAATGGTTTATTCACTTAGACGGTACAAGAATTGATGCACTAAGACTCTCCCCCAATTCTTAGTTTGGTCAGATTCAGAGGAATGTCGTATGCATTGACCTCAGAAGATTTCGTGCTTCTCTCCTGCAAATGGTCGCTTTCGGTGACGTGAAGGTGAGACTCGTGTGCACTGACCGCCGTGTACATTCCAGTGGCAGTGAATTGAGCCTTGTTCCGTCCCACACGCTTCAGATGTGGATCCCGGACCCAGGTGACGGGATAAAAGCACAAATGGTGTCCTCTAACTCTCTCCTCGTACCAAACAGCGATCCATCCCTCTACTAACACGGCCGCCGTCCAAGGGACATTCTGCGATGAACAAGGACACAAAATGAAAATAGTAGGCGAATGGAATCTAAGTTTAGGACACCCGTAACCCTTCAGATTTAAACGTCGTTCCACTCTGTCCTTTTTATATTTTACCACGCGCTGACGATAAATTTACAGTAGGTGTCTTTGATGGTAAAACTAGAGCAATGTTCCATTCATTCGTACCTAGAACCTTTTTTTTAAATGAAGCCACGTTTCGGATTTTGTCAAACCCATTGTCAATAATCAACTTGAATAAAGCTGATAGCACCCTTCACTATTCGAGCTTCCATGAACAAAGTGTAAAATTCATATCTTGCGTTTTATTGCAATATATTCTTCATCCCACTGCCATATAGTGCCGATTGCCGTGAGGATACATAAATGAATAATTATTGCCCCACCATTTTTCGTGTCTATTATAAACGAAAAGTGCTAATAGCAGTATTATAACATTTATAATTAAAATACAAATGTATCTCAGCACACTCAATATTAATAATAATAAAAGTCATGCTCTTCCATTTCAAGTTGCTTGCGAAGACACTCACTGCAGTAAAGAATTCGCCACTTGATTCGTATGATCCACTGATCGATCGACGATTGACACAACTTTAATGAGACTTCTTGAATAATAAACTGGGCGCACTTGAAGACATATTCGTTTCTTTGGCAGGAAAGGTAATGTTTATCTTAGAGGGTCCGGATACCATGATGTGGCTGACACCAATTGAGTTGTTCAAAAGTGTGATTTACTACTTGGATTATAATTATACATATGTTGATAGAGGAGAAGGTTAATAAACAGGCGATCTGGCTAGCGTCACTAATGATTCTAACCGGAGACGACGGACGACCATGCGGACAAGGGAGAAACACACATCTAACTTATATTGAAACGTGCGTGCTTGTAGCGTGTACTCCTTGTCTTCGGTCGTCCTCAATCAGAATAGTGTGTCATTTTGATCCACTTTAAGAAACGCCTGCGCGTCTACTTACACGCAAAACATTCAAAGAGTCAATTTCTGCGACCTACGAAATCAGCTCAGCGAATGATGAGGCGGAACATTCATTGAGACCTCTATATTTAGTCTGCACTGCGGCATTACGCAATGCAAGCGTCACGCTTTGCATCACGTAATGCCAAGGCGCAGACTGATTTTTTAGGTCGAAACGGTTGTTCTGCCTCATCATTCGCTGAGCTGATTTTGTAGATCGCAGAGATGGACTCTTTGAGTGTTTTGCAGGTACGCAGACGCAGAGATATTTCTTAGAGTGTATAGTCAGTATTTTGTCTAGCGGCGTCTAAAACGCGGGCATTTTTGTCCGGTCGATGTGTCTGTGAAGTAGAATCAACAAACACTACCTTCTTACAAAAAAAAAAGGCCTGGGTTTACAAAATAATCAGAGTTTAAAATAATCGTAGACTTTACATCTCTCTCAAATCTAAAAGATATTTACTGTTCAGAGTTTTAACCTTTTATCAACTTTCGATGACATATTGCCAGTGGCTCAATGAGACGTTCTAAGAAAAGTCACTAGATAATCCATATTTTCCGTTTTCTCCGAATAGCTCTGCAGCAGCATTATACTCCACAACTTCCTGCGGCATTTCAGAAGGGAAGAGTGCTCATGTGCAGCTTTGGCCTCCAGGATCACGAATATCGAGATTATTTTTCAGAATGGGCCACGAAGGTTACAGAAAATCATTTTCAAGTTATCGCTGAAGCCACTCCTCCCGGAGCGCGACGTCATATCCAGGGTTTGGGGAATCTCCGCTCTCGCGCATCTGCAGCGCCTATCAAAGCTATGCACGCGCAGTCTTGCAATTTTCATAAAGGTCAGAAAATGACCTCATGACTGGCGACGGGTGTAAGTGGCAGCGTTTACGCGGATGCGACCGTATTTCATCTGATCGAGATTCGACTATTTTCATCGGTAGCAGATGGGTAGGTCAGAAAGAAGTAGGAAGAGAAACTGCGTGCGATTGGTCCTGCTCAATTAGATGCGCGACACGCGCATTCATGTACACGTAGCCTGTGAGGGTGATTATACCTCGCAAGCTTGCAATTGCCCGCGATGCCCACACGAGCGACACCCGCTTGGCGGCCAAAAGATCCTAGCTTGACGTGACGACTGGTCAGATGTTTTTTGCGTTTTTTTCGCGTTCAGTTAGAGCCTCGGAGAAAGCGAACGTAATATTCGAATTCCGGGGATAGAAATAATCTAAAATTCACCTCTAACGTTTTTTTTTTTTTTTTTCGAAACCCTCTTCAGCTTTTTTTAAGTGCATGACCACCGACTTGTACACGACCACATATAGACGTTTTGCAGCAGATGCGCATGGTCACCGCCATGACTGAACTTCAACTTTTGATCACTTAATTTCATCATTGCCACAGCAGTACAAGTTATTGGCATTTCAGTTGCTACTGCGTCCTCCTTCCCAGCACTGATATTTTTAAAGGTTCGTCAAAGCCCGCTTCAGTGGCGTAGTATCTCGGTAAGAAAATAAAAGGTCAGCAATGGCGGATGTGCTAGGCACGTGTGCAAAGCCTCTATCAAACATTACCGTTCTGACTTGCTTGGCTAGTTGAGGGCACAAACAGCTCGTAATAAGACAGTAAAGTTCAATAAAAAAATAGCAACTGCTGCCGTTATTGTCTACTTACTCACGCTTTCTAAGGGTGCATGTTAGATTTGATAAGCCCATTGCATGTTCACTGTGTTACTGATGCCTGCAGCGCAGCAAAGAGCTGTACATTTTCATTCCTTCCTGTATAATCGCTTACCCGTCAAGGAACAAAGGGCCTGGTCTATTATATGAGGCTTTTCTTTTGGGACTTGTGTTTCAGCGTTTGATGCCGCAACCATATCCACTGCTATGCAATAACAACGTGTCAGGGACTCGCCAAGCTTTGTGTAACAACTGTCATTTGAAGGTTGAAAAACACTAAGACGTGGCCTTCATGATCGTCCTTCTTGAGTGGGGAATCGTTTTGTGGCGCTCTTATCAACGAATGTCGGAATGTGATTGGCTGTCGAACAATAATGAGATGCCAGGGACTTGCCACGTCCTTAGTTTCTTAGGTTGGCAATAACTATAGATATTCGACAACCCCATATTGGTCGTCGCTAATTAACCATCTTAAGCGCTATGGTATAGTTGGGCGAGACGTACCGTTACGGTATCTCTGACGATCCATTCAATTTTGACAGTCTTTGCTGGAGGCACGGTGACTTCTTGTTGCAAAGTGAATGTCTCGCTCTTAGTGTGCATTTCACCACTCCCTGACCGATAGTCCAGGCCGATTTCTAGCTGGGATTCGAGGGTCGCAATCTCCTTGATACTGGTACTGGCTTTCACGGAAAATGAAGAATGGAATGCCGTTTCCGTGGTCCAGCTAGATGTCTTCGTGTGCACAACCGTTCTTGAGACGGTGACTTTCTGTGGTTGCGACTGCTCGTTTCTGACCACTTGAGTGTGTACCACATTTGGCTCATTTAGTCTGCTCGTCGCGTTGCCGTAATCAAGATTTCCTGCTGTTGCCGTTACCTTGTACCTGTGGAGGACATGGAGTTCTTAGGTATTTTAGTTTTCGTGGCATATACACGTGTATTGCTACAACGAACGCTTGCATGACTGCAGAACTGTAGATGTGCGCCGCCTTTCAAAATGAACCAGTAACTAAAACGTTAAAATACTCGTTTTTCAAAACATACGTGATCTTGCATTATTCCAACTGCCGAACTTATGATACTTTTTGAGACCCTTGAGCACTATTTAAAGTTTGTCTAATTTGTTGCAGCTTCCGCTTTGTTGTAGCTAAAATATGTTGTTATAGCGGTTAAGAGTTGAGCTTGTTGGTACATACTTGTAAATATATCAGCTTGATATTTAGAATTAAACTAGAACACAAAGAAAGAAAGCACAGAATTGGACACACAGCTGACTACCAACGATGTTTTAGTGTAACCTTCTTCTTTGCGCGTTTGCTCATTCATTTATAGTCCCAAAAAGAGCACGATAAACCTATTATATAAATTACCCTATATTCCACTAATAAAGATCACTCACGATATTTACACCCATACAAAAATATACAAAGCACTTACACGGATTTCCTAGAAAATTATTGTTTTTTTTTAAAACTAACCCCCCATAAGCTCCTGCTGTTGTTGTTTGGGGCGTGACATTTCGTAGGTATTGTCTTTCTTCTTTGTGTTCGGTGATTGATGGGGTGCTGAGGCAATCCTTCGCGTGCTGCTGGATGGCGAGCGCCTCCGGCATTTCGCGTGCATGAGAATTGTTGTTTCTGGCAATAATTATCTAGGAATTTTGTGCAAATATCGGGAGTGATCTTTATTAGTGGAATAGGGTAATTTATATAATACGTTTATCATGCTCTCTTTGGGACTATAAATGAAGGAGCAAAGACGCAAAGAAAATGTTTACACTAAAACATCGTTGTTAGTCGGCTGTTTGTCCTATCCTGTCTTTCTTTCTCTGTGTTCTAGTTTAATTCTAAAATTCAAGCTGATATATTCACATCTTGTTATTGAGTAATAGCTTATTGATAATAAAAACAAATATTCGTTTACCAGCAAACATCGGCGAAACCCATTGGGTTATGTTGTAACTCATGAAGAATGATTAGTCCAATTTATTTCTGGGTCGAAAAAAAATATGTTTAAGGTCACATGATAACAAAGCGCCTGCATTAATTTCGATAGGCTCCACGAAGAATAAAAAAAGTGTACCGATAACTGTGTGTAGTATATGCCAACCACATAAAAAGGCGTTTTTTGCTCTAATGTTCTGCCCTTAAATCAGAATATAAACAAAATGTCTAAGTAGAATTGTATCAAGAGAGTTTTATAGTTGTTTTGGTTAACTTCAATATGCGTGCATATTATAAACCTTTGTCTATATATCACATTGCAACTTTACTTTAATACAGATTTTCACGCCCATGGCGATATGCAAAACTTTTATGAAAGACGCTGTAGGCAAACTACAATTCTTGTACCCAATGAAGCAATAGGGAATATTCACTGGCCGCCATAGTTGTGTGCGTGATTGAGGAGCGCGCCCAGACGGCGAGCTTCTACAGTTTTTTACGGAACGTGCATTCTACACCATCAAGATTCACGGTCATAGCAGCCTATTAATGTGAGTTCATTCTGAGCATGCGCTGTTGACGGCGCCCTTCAAATATGACGTACAGTGAATGCCCCCTCTACTCTGTTCACCCGTAAGCTCAGACTAGAGACTCCGCCTTCAGCGCGAGCTTCCTGCCCTTCCTGAGAGAAGTGTGAAGGCGCAGGCGCGCGCAACCAAAGCACTGCGGAAGCCAGAGAGCTCGCGCTACAAGCAGAGCTTTTGGTCTCGGCGTAAGGTTGGACCACCGTGGGTTGGACCATTTAACTGGAGGCAGTGTGTATGGGCAGGTTTCAGGCGGGACCACTCACGTTTTGTACTTGTAGGCGTATTCCCTGAGGTGCACGTGCTCCCCGTGCATGTCCCACCAGCTTACTTGCGCTTTGTTATATTTAGACACATTTCCTACGAAGTTTTTTACAGCCTCGTCGAAATCGAAGACAACGGCTTCCTTCGCTGTTGAAGACACAAATAAATGCACAGACGATTCTAGATAAACAAAGTAGGGGAAATCCTTAAAGGGGTACTCCGGCGATTTCTTCCTGGTCCCCAATTTGCTTGAAATTTGCTAAACTCGCCAAACAACATTGCTAAAATAGTATCCCAAATATTAGGTCAAAATATTTTTTTTCACGAAGTTATTGAATTTACAGTTTTGGTCCTCACCGTGTTTTTCAAACTGAAAATCTCTACTGGCAACAACCAATAAGTGACGTCAGTGGAAGGCAGGGGTTCACTCTTTGGGCTGTAGAATTCGTTCCCAGCTGATTCGAAGCAGTTTCATGGTGTCAAATGAATGCTTCGGAAGCTCGCTCTAGTCCCCGCGCTCCAGCACGGAACTAATGGTTGGCATATTCTATTTCTTAGACTGCTTGCTCGACTCGCAAGCCTGCCCGCCACTGACGTCACGGCACTGAAAAGTGCGGGTGTATCTAAATGTTGGTTTTTGCATCATATTCATGTGCCAATTTCACAATAACTATTATGAATTTCGCGATACTAAATAGCATACCGGGAAGGGTAAAGGCCGGGGAGTCAGAAATTATAATTAGTTGAGTTAGGTCAAAAAATCGCCGGAGTACACCTTTAAGGCTATTTCACATAACACCTCTTTCTTACGGTACGAACCTTGCAGACACTTACGCCGAGATATTACCGCAAGTCACCGGTACATCCGGGCATCGTATTCCGCGTGCCAAGCTACTCCTTTAGCTGGTTACAACCTTTGTACGAGGCACGAAATTACCTGTGAATTGCGGTCGTGTCTCAAACCTAAGCATACGTAGGGTTCGGAATGTAAAAAAAAATGTACTGTATAAACCCGCATTTACTGTCACGATTTTTTTTTTATCGTTAGGCAACAAATAAAGCGGCCACCTGCGTACCAATAGACAATTTTCATGGCAATAGGCACCACGCATTGCTCCAGTCTTTCACGTCTCAGAGAACTTCCGGCTCATCAAAGGAATGAACATAGCCCACCAAACACCGCCATTTGAATTGTCGATGAAACGTTTAACCACCTATCCTCCAGGTGAACGTGAAAAGAACGAAGAAGCGCGAGACCTGTTAAAGTTTATCGAGTATTGTTGTAACCCAACTTGCCTCCTTCAAAATGTTATTTTGTACTTCCGAAGGCCCGTGTTAAATCACCAACTTTGTTGTCCATGTAGCCTCCATGGTTTCTAGCACTGCTGACTAAAGCAAGCCCGACAGGCTTACAAAGAACGAGCGACCAGAAATCGCTTACGACCCAAGCTGGACTCAATGTTTGTAAACAACAAAATGGAGTATACTCTGTTTACCCTAAACTTGAGAATACAGGCAATGGCACAAGCAAAAGAGCTCGAGGTCGCCGCTTTGCAGCGTTCTTCCGGAGAACGAGCGATCGCGCTAGAAATACACGTCTCAAAGCCAGAAGCGCAGGCGAGCTTGCTCTTGTAGCTTTGGCTGTAGTCTCAGCTTAAGGGTAAATAGGTTACAGATTAAGCTTTCTTGGTTTGAAACAAATAGGAATGATCCAGTTTTAGCCAAAGAAAACAAAATATAGCTGGGATATAAAAAATCTGTGAATTGTGAAGGGGCACTCTAAGCTTGTATACATTTGAGGAGATTGTAAAACAAACAAAAACCGAGGTAATTCTGGAATATAATGGCAGACTTTCGGGAAAATTATTTTCCCCGCTGCCGCGAGATTAAGCGCTGCATAATTCTATAGATGATCTGAAAGAGTACGCGTAGAAGAAGAGTCAATCTTGGCCAACAAGTAGGTTGTAGTGCACTACCACCATAATAGCCGACTTGAAAGATGTAATCCAAAAAATAGCTCGACACTGTCAAAGCAGGACAACCACACAAACACGAAAACGAGAAGGAAGGCTCCTTGAAGTTTCACCGCGATGCGGCGCACAAACTGTCATTTGCCGAACCCAACCAAACCGCAAGAATTCTTGACTTCTTTGAAGAATCTCTGGTTGCCGATATACGCGTAGGACTTCTCGAACACTGATAGCTTTGGTGCACATTCAATGCGTTGTCGAGAGACATCCTACCGCATGGTTAGGCGACAGATCGAAGCAGGTAGGACGAATGACGTTCGAACTGCGACGAACAACTCGCAGACAAAAAAAAAAAAAAGCGGCTGCCAGCGGGACGCTTTCCGATCTTGGAGGCAATGCTTATCAGCGTGTAGCGTGCCCTCCTCTCCCTCGGGTCACTTGACAAATATGTGTGACAAATATGTGTGGTGACAAAATATGTGTGTCACCGAACGCTGCGTTCGGTGACACACGTATTTTGGGCACGTATAAAGAACAGAGGGCGAGAGAGATCTTGGAGGCCTTTCAGATAGCTTCTCGGGGAGAGGGATGCATAAGCCAACCCTCCCTTGCACTGATTGAGGCCGAGTTGGCGTTTTTAAAGACAACGACACGTGTCAACACGTAAACATCGTGATTTTACAGTTTTTAAGATGTGTAGTTTGACAACAAAGAGCTGCGGTGCGCATGAGCGATTTGGGGAGGGGGGGGGGGGGGCGGGATGCTATTTGTGTTTTCTGAGGTTCCAATAAAATTTATCAGTTGCGAGTGAGCGCTCGTCCGTCGTTTGTGTTTCTTACTCTGCCCTCGTCTTTTGTGCGCTTTTAAAACCAAGATGTTCAAGTTTCAAGATTCATAATTCCTCTTCAAACACGAAGAGAGGGAGGAGGGAAAAGAGCAGTACAAAACTGCTTGACAGTGACCTCTCCCCCCCCCCCCCCCCAACAGCAACACCAGAAGAGGTACTCAAAATAAAACCACTCTCAAGAGTACACAATCCCATCTCTGACGAAACTAGTAATGATAATATAATATGCGTTTGCTGGAATAGTTTTCAATTGTTATATTCCGCGATAAAAAATTGTTTAACATTTTGGGTATCTCACCATCTCATTTCCGTAGTTTGTTCTCAAGCGCGGGACCGTCCAGGCGTCGGCATGACGGGTGGCGTACGAGGTGTTTTGTGAGGGGAGGGAAGAAAGAGAAAGAAGACTGTTTCCCCGAGTGGTTTGCCACTGTTTTATATGCTAGGAGAAGTTTATAGTCATAATGATTCATGATTACAAAAATTACTAATTTATTGAATAACTGTGCCTTGTGGCTGTCATTTGCTTCATTACACAAAATACGGATTACTTTTTTTCTGAAGTATATGAATACGGTGAATATTTGCAGAAGTTGCAGTTCCCCATACCAAGAAGCAGTAATTAAAACAAGAATTGAATAAAAAGTTATAAAGAAGTCGTAGTACAGACCGGGGTAAGGTTCTTCTATGCTTATACCACTTTTGATAGTTTTTTTGCTATCATCTGAACTGTTTCATCCCATCGCATGTATTCATTAAACATAACACCAAGAACTTTGACATTCTGCACAATTTCGATGCCACATGAGTCTAGGGAGAAAAGCTGATTTCCGCTTATTCTTTGCCCTAAAAGCAACAGATTTCGTTTTATTACTATTTCTCACTAAAGAGTTCTGGACTGTCCACGTACACAGCTTTTCTAGAATTGTATTACCTCAGGCATTCCAGCACGACGCGTTACAGCCTCGAGAAGTACGCGAATAGACCGATCTCACCAGCTAGTCTGAGTACGCCACCGCTGCCGACATGCATCGTGGAGCTGTAGTCTGTCTGCACGCGCGACAACCCTGCTGAGGTCTGCGCCAGCAGAGCACGAGGCGGCATAAGCTGGCTCGTGAACTGGCGTCTGCCTCCTACGAACTACAGTTACGGCGGCGTCACGCATGCGTGGAACGCTTGGTGAGATCGGTCTATTGCGCGGGTTTCAGCGCGCTCGGACACCCAGCGCGAGCTCGTAATTTGATTGCTGCAACGGCGGACGTGCTCTCGCAATGCTCGATGGTCTTGCAGCCACCTCTTCGCGTGCTACCTTCGCCGCGTCTGAAATTGAGGTGAAACAGAGTCTAGAAGTATGTTCTTTCACGCGGTCGCGTGTTCCGCGAGAGAGATTCGAGATGAATAAGTAAATCGAGGCAACAAATAACGCCAAGGTTTTAAAGTTCTGTCAAAAATATCGGCTCGCCAAAATCGCGCGTTTAGGTAAAAATATATATATATATATTTATTGCACTTGCAGTATAAGCGAACCTCAGCGCAATCAAAATATAAATACAATTACTCGCATTCCGCGGGCGATTGTAAATCGATGAACCGGTGCTCCCGGCTTTCCGGAAACAGACTGCCACAGCTGAAATAGGCGTGCCCATGCCGTCAATTTGTACGCTCAGTATCAAACGGGCTCCGGAGAGCCGTTTGATAAAACCGGTACAGTTTGCCGGTCACCGGTCAACCGGTCTGTGCAACATGGCGACCGGTTGGAGCCAACGTGCGAAAACTTTGCCCAATCCAGTGGCCCGTTTGCCAAAAGAATGACCTGTATGCCCAAATACGTGACCGTTATGGGTCATACGGAGGACCCCTTTGAGCCATACGGGGACCTTTTGACAAACTGGTGACCAGCCTGGCTAAACATTTACCGGCATGGAACCGTTTACTTTCATATAGGCGCCAAATGGCTTCCTCGCCGCGGTATCCCGCGACGAGGGAGCAGACGCAACGGCCATGCACGGAGCGAGGGAACTCGAGACCACACCACGCTACCCCAAAGCGAAACGTGCCGTAAAGCAAGAACTGTTACCAAAGAACGACTACAAGATCATCATGAAACCGAGAGAAAGCTTGAACTTCGCGAAATGGAGACATATTGCCATCGCCCGCAGCCTGAGTCAAGACAACAAGCTCCCCATCGACGGCATGCGCGGCCATGTGATCTCCAAAGTGCAACATGATCAGAACACAATCATCATTAGCATCGCAGACATCGAACTCGCCACGCGAATGTGTGAAATCGACCAAATACATCTGGGGGAATACGACTATGTGGTCCACACGTATTCGGTGGCCCCCCAGGATTTTGCCAAAGGGGTAATTCATGACCGGGAACCTGAAGAGCCCCAGGAAATCGTCTTGAAGGCACTCTGGAGCAGAACCCACGAAATCATATACGCCAGACACATGGGAAACACCGACAAAGCTATCATCACTTTCAAGGAAACCACGATCCCACGGGGAGTGTATCTATACGAAGGTGAATACTGCTGCAAACCCTACCGACCGACCAAAGAAGTGTGCCGCATGTGTCTCAAACAGGGACATCGAGCGGACGTGCGCCTGACGCCAAACATACACATCTGCGTCATCTGCGGACACCCAGAACCCACCGAGGCACATCAGTGCACACCCAAGTGCGGAATCTGCTAAGGCGAACATATAACGGGCAGCACGAACTGTACCGAGCGATGGCAACCAACCAAGATACCAAGATACAGAAGACCCGCCGCGTCGAGGATCCAGCATCAACAAACCGAGCGTCAACCAATCCAACAACACCAGCCAGGCAAACGAATGCAAAAAAATAGCGCCAGCACAGAACAGACAGCGAGTCATCAAGGGCAGAAGAGTCAACCACGAACTCCAACGGTACCATCCCCCATGGCGCGACTTCACACTAAATTCTGGGAGGACGCTGTCATACCAGGACCTAAATCGAAGCACACCATGTCGAACGCCACACCTAGCCGACCCACGACGGGACAGCATACCAAAGAGCCATCTACGGGGCAACACACCAGGGAGTCACCACGGGGACCGGATCCCCCGAGAGCGACGACCCCTTCTCGTCAAGGAGTGAACGACCGCGCACTAGATCACGTGGGGACGGGGAGCCGGAGCTGATGGAAGAATCGACTCCGGCGCCCACAGCGGGAGGAGTCGCCCAGCAGACGTGTGACCAGGGCCATCTGGCCGAGCAGGTGAGCTGGGCAGCACGGTTCCTACCCCCCCCCCCTCCCCCGGACCGAACGCACACACGTACCCGCGACGCTCACAGGCAAAGCAGAGAAAACTACGACCCTTAGAATTGCGAAACTCCGGGCGGATTTTTCAAGGCTGTAGTTGAGCTAGTTGGTGCATAATACTCAAAACGCCAGCTGAACTTAGGAAAATAGAGAGAGAAAGAGAAAGGCACCAGCGGTATGCCTGTCTCTTTCTCAATCTATATTCTATTTTCCTAATTTCAGCTGGCTTTTTTAGTATTACGATTTTTCCGGACTAGAGCAAAGCTTCGAGGCTGGAGTAAGCGAATTCGAGGAAAGACTCAACAAGATCTTAGAGCAGAATAATTCTTTCGCGGAGATGATCAATGGCCTGACAAGCTCGGCAACGGCCCCGCTACAGCAACAAAACCAACAGCTACAGCCGCGGATCCAGCAGCAGAACCAACAGCAACAGCTGCTTCACCTCAGAATAGAAATCTTCGATATACTCCGGAAACACGACGCCCCTGAAACCGCCAGGCAACAACAGCAACAACAACCATGGCGGGACAGCGTAAACAATCAAATGCGAAAACGGGAATCTGGCAGTGAAACTGTCGATCATTCAAAAATAAACAAGGGCTACTTATATTTTGTCTCATCCTACGATGGACTAAAAAAAGGCCAAAGCCACGGGCCGCCAGGTCCAGTCACGTTCTACGCTAGACCATGATATGCCTATTTTTGATTAGGGGTGGACGAATAATACTTCGAACCCAAAAACGCAGCATCATTTCTATAGATTCGACGCTGCAAACAACCTGTACTTCGCGGCTTTTTTGCAGTGTAAACTTGTTGAGTCACTCACTGCAACTCGACTCGGACCACTCTCCGCCCATCCCCATCAGTGATCTGAGACGCGGACTGATACGTGCATCAAAGCGCAGTACCACGCAATTTCTTAGTGGCTCGTGATTGGATATGGCGGTCCGTAGCTTTTGCCCTTAGTCCATCGTAGTGTGAGACGAAGTAGAATATATATATATTTCCTGGAGCGTGGCGCCATGTTAAGAATTTTTGGAATCTTCGCTCTCGCATCTACAGTGCCCCTAAACGCTATGCGCGCGCACTCTGGCTATATCTAACAGGGTAGAAAGAGACGCCAAAGACTGGTGTCAGTGCGGGGGAATATAGCTGGCAAGCCGCCAATTGCACGCGCTGCCCACGTGTGCGTTAGAGGCCCAAAGATCCTAGTATGACGTCACGACGTCATGCTAGGATCTTTTCGAAACTAAGATACTAAGATACTAGCATCTCACGTCTTCCTGCATCTTCGGGAAAAACGAACACGATAGTTAGAGTCCGAGGATAAAGTACGCCAGAATCCATATCTAGCTATTTTTTTTTTCAAGTGTTTCAGCTTCTTTTTAAGAAACTCCCTAAAAACTCAACTAATGCGGTGCGTGCAGAGAAGTAATATGGACCGGGGCTACACAATACACGGGACTAATCTTCACGATAAGTCGGATAATTAACAGAAAGTGGTAATTATCTTTGAAATTAGTGAAAATAAACATATGGTTCCAAACAAAAACTTGCTCAGCGTCATATAAGACCACTAAATTAGTAAAATTTCAAAATACTTCAAGCGCGTGCAATGTACGCTAGCGTGCTAAAGTTACCACTAATGCAACAGGTTTGACGCCGACGGTGCGAAAAAATGGGATGCTAAAGGCAAAAAATCCGCACGATCGCGTTTTTGCAGCTATAGCCTTGCGCCAGTTTCAAAAGTGCTAACATAGCACACCCATGTTTCCTACGCCTTCCAAGTTTTTCTAAAAGTGACAGATTCGGTTGTTTTCGATTACGCTCAGCAAGTTTGTAGTTGAAACCATACATGTATCTCACTAATTCGAAAGTAAACTAATAAACTTCAGTTATTTAATCTACTTGCTGGGATGATCTGCCTTTAATATTATGCCCCCCTCACCGTATAACCCACCATTACTGACCGCGTTTTTGTTGCTTTGGCCGCTATTTTAAGAACAGTCTGGGTCTGTAAAGCCTAAACAAACACAAAGAAAGGCAATGGCGCAGGCTTGCTTTGGACGATCATGCATAAACTTATAAAGCACGAGACATGGGAACAACCGAAGAGAAAGAAAAGAGGGGACAGCTGAACGAGTCTCAAATCTCAGCTGGAATATTTATTTACGTAACAGCTCGTATTATAGAGGTCGGAACAGATTCCAACTTCGGAACGACACCCGTTAACCCTACAAGCAAAAAAGTGGAGATACCCACCTAAGAGGAACAGTTCATCCAACTTTATCTTAGTTTGCTCCCTTGTCCCTAAGTTTATAAAAATAAGTATGACATTATACATACATACGGTGTCTATCTATAGGCATCTCTATGAATAAAAGAAAAGTATTGTCTCCGAGCAATTACATTTAAGAACTGAATTTATGTTTAATGAGTTTGCTCTTGGCGCTGAAAACTTACAATTTTGTTCACTTTTGTTCCACCAAAGTTTTTACTAAATACAAAGCCTTCTGAGAGTACTCATATCTTTTCCAGCCTCAGAACCATGTCGTCGTCAATATACAGCATCTTTTCGACGTCCGGTTCTCTCGCCTCAAAAAGTCTTGGATAAACGGCGTTTCCAGAAGAGGAGCTGTATTGCGGA